TTTTATCTTAATGTCTAAACTTAACCTATGGAGACACAACCAGTAATGCTTCCATGTTTTTTGATTGAACAAAGAATATGAACATACTGTAGGGTGGAAAAGGGATGTGAACCTTTGTATTTAATGGTTGACACTCCTTTGGCAACAATTACCTCAATCAAACATTTCCTGTAAATCAGAAGTGCATCACCGTCAGGAGGAAGAAGACCATTCTGCTGTACAAAACTGGATGAGTTCAGCAGTATTCTTGGGATGTCTGGTGTGAATCGCTATTTTCTTCTGTTGTAGCCATTGTCCTGTTCAATTGGCAGACATACTGTAGAATTTAGTTATTAAAAAATGTAATAAAAATAGATTTTGTCATATGTTTAAAATGTCTGCATGACCTGACAGTAAAATATGCAAATGATCTTTTCAAAAAACATCTCTCTCTGGTCCCATCTTAGACCTCTCATGTCATTTTTCATTTCATTTCTTTCCATGTCATGGTGAGACAAAATTAGCCAATCAGATAGTGTAGAGACAGAAAGCGTGGCTGAGGGATGTATCAATCATTTGCTCACACACACAGCTGCTCATACAGATGCATACGGTTGCAACCACCAGCGCCTATGTAAGATGATCACCTCTCTTATTTTTTTTAATTATTGTACATTCCAAAAAAATACAACAAGTCGATAACTTTTCATGTTTAGCAACACTCCCAACAAGACTGAGTCATGCTAGCAATGTAGCTGCCCTGGCGTATCATCGTGTAGTGAGCTAGAGGCGTTTCTTTGGGCAGAAATGCAAAGATGGGGAGGGAGGAATGAAGGGAGGCTATATTCAAATCTTGCAAGCATCTTGAAGACCGTATAATCTACCTTTAAGTTCTCCTGCAAAATGTCTTGATAAACTTTACATTTTTAATTGTTTGATGGGCCATGAGACTTATGCGTCCAGGGCCTGAGGAAGCAAAGAATCCCAAACCATGATGTCCCCTCCTCCATACTTCTCACATGGAATGAGGTTTTGGTTTCTCCACATAGCATTTTATTTATTCCAAACAATTGTTGGAATAGATACTTTCATATGTATACATAAGTTTCATTATGTCCACACGAGTTTGCCAGTAGTGCTGTGGAACACTCAGGGGGCTTTTGTAAACCTTTTTTGGGAAAACAGTAGCTTCCTCCATGGTGTCCTTCAATGACATCAATTGTTGTTTAATGTGTTACTTATTTTAGATTTGTCAACATAGATGTTAGTGTGCACCAGAGATTTCTGTAAGTCATTAGCCAACACGCTATGATTTTTTTTTTTTTCATTCTACGCTGTGTTTTTTGCAGTAATTTTTACAGCCACACTTAGGGAGAATTTCTACATTGTTGATCTTTCTTAATTTATGGGCAATCTGTCTTACAATGGACTGATGACTAATGAACATAAAGGATTTTAGAAATACCTTTCTAGCTTCATGTAAGATAACAATTCGTGCTTTGATTTCTTTTTTCATTCTACACTGTGTTTTTGCAGTAATTTTGACAGCCACACCTTGGGAGAGTTTCTACAGTGTTGATTTTTCTTAATTTATGAACAATCTGTTTTACTATGGACTGATGACTAATGAACATAAAGGATTTTAGAAATACCTTTCTAGCTTCATGTAAGATAACAATTCGGAATTGCAGGTATTTCAAGAGATTCGGTGTAAGGCAGGGTTCACATTGGCCAATGCTTCTTGAGAAAAGAAAATTCAAACATGGTGTTTTTATTTGGCTGGGCAGCTTTACCCAACATGTCCCAACTTGTCGTATTAATTGGACTTAATGTTCACTGACTCCTGACTCCAATTAGCTGTTGGAAAAGTCCATAGCCAAGGGGTTCACATACTTTTGTGTTCAGCAAAAATATTAAAACATATAATCATCTATTGTCACGATCAGTATCAAGAACAGATGACATTTTTTTTAAATCTCGCTAATTCTGAAGGGTTCGCATCCTTTTTTGGGTGTGAAAATAGTGGAATCTCGAAAGCTGATCAACCAAAAGAATGCAACAAAACAAAATTAATACATCAATGACAAATTGACAGGCCTGCCATAGAAAAACTGCTCCCGTCATGTCTTAAATTGTCGATTCGATCAGTGTCGGCAAATTAAGACACTACAGCTGATCACAAAATTTGTGTGCAATAAATGCAAAATACTGGCCGATCTGATATAGCCGATTAGATGCAGATGACATTTTTTTTAAATCTTGCTAATTCCGAAGGGTTCGCATACTTTTTTTGGGTGTGAAAATAGTGGAATCTCGAAAGGTGATCAACCAAAAGAATGCAACAAAACAAAATTAATACATCAATGACAAATTGACAGGCCTGCCACAGATAAACTGCTTAAGTAATGTCTTAAATCGTCGATTCGACCAGTGTCGGCAAATTAAGACATCACAGCTGATCACAAAATTTGTGTGAAATAAAGGCAAAATACTGGCCGATCTGATATAGCCGATTAGATTTGTGGAAAGTCGAGTTGTGACCTTGGCTGGTGTTTGAGCACGGAAGTCCTATTGCAACATTTTCTCATGCAAGTGCAGCAAAAAAGATTAACCTGTGAAGTATAACATTGAAACCAGTCTATTCGTATGTAAACATTCATTCTGTCTGATGCATTCGACTAATTCCACCCTCATGCCCATTGCAGGAGCCTCACTTTTCAATTGTGAGTGTTCCAAGTGTGACTATTAGCAAGGGTGGCACTTAACCTTTCGCTCAGGAGTTAATCATTAAAAAGTTACAAGCCAACTTTAAAATGAGGGGGTCCAGCCAGCCATTATCCTTCTCCAAATATTTACACCTCTTCCATGTCACTGAGCTGCCTGCGCTGCACCAAACAGATACTCACACAGCAGGGAGAGCAGTGTGCTGGATAATTTGCACACACGGCGAAGCCGATTTGAACATTGTGAATTTTTTTTTTAGTGAAAGGGGCGGGGTCAGACCATGGCATAATGGGGGCGACGAGCGACATGAAGAAATGTTCACCATGAATGTGGGTACAGTACTGATGGGTTTTAGGTTATCAACTCAAGTGTAAACCTGCGGCAAACAAATACAGACACACATCTTCTGTCCTGTTTGCAATGTGAGGGTTTTTTTTTTTTAAAGATTTGCTGCGCTTCATTACAAGTGGAAAAAAATAGGTCGAGGGAAACCCAAAAAAAAAAAAAAACAAAAAAAAAACTAGTGTTAATTCAATCCAAATCGGAGTCTCATAACAGGCCGCTTGGTTCGCTCAAACAACCCCTGTATGTCTGCCACTTACTCATTTCCGGTCGGTAGCCGATTCTGTCAGCAAGAATGAGAATTTAAACACGTGTTCATGTATCGAGAGGCTTCAGCATGCACGTTGCTGCTGTCCTGCTGCGTCAGTGCAAGTCGACACTGCATTGAACGCGGGGATCATGACATTCAGAAAGATGAAGGTCATTTGTACTGGCTTCCGTGGCACTTCCTTGAAGTGGTCAAAATGATCATCTATTTAAGTCTTACATGCACAACGGATTTTATTTTGCCAAAAATTACCATTCATGAAAGACAATTTTTTTTTTTTCTTGAAATCTTAAGGACATTTTTTTTCTTCATATTTGACAGCTTTGTCATGACTATGATCAAAATGCTAGCTCACTGCTAGCCCTGCTTGGGCTTATCTAAGATAGGCTTTCCACATGCCTTTTTTTTTTTTTTTTTTTTAAAGAACAAAACAATGAACCCAGCAGTGTTGTTGTAAAATTTCCTGGGGTAGCGTTAAAGACAAAGCAGCACTGACGTCCACCATCCTGCAACAATTCCATGACGTATGAGCATATTTTATTCTCAGGGCGCCAATAGCATACTTGTATACAATACATGTACGATCAGTCCAAACTATTTTGTCCTTATTAGATAAAATCTGATTGGCTGGCAACCAGTCCGAAGTGTACCCTTGCCTGTGTGACCAGCTCACCCGCTAGCCGAATAAGCTTTACGTAGTTCATGCAGTCCCCATTAATTGTATCCTTTTCCATGAAGAAATCACACAAGCCTCGCGTCACCTGACTTTTTTTAGCTAGTTTATAATTTTGATTCACAAGAACACCCGAGGTAATACGGGAAGAGTTCAGCGCATGTCCAACGATATCACTCTGAACATATCTGGCCATAAACACTGTCTCCTTTCCGAATGGACTGTCATCATTACATACTGCCAGTGACCATGAATCACCACCGTCTGCAGGGAAGGATGCGAGCTCAGAAAATGTATGAATGGGTCAAAAGTTACAGGTGAGGCTCGCCCATGTTTTGAGACTGGGGCCCTGATAATATTTGTCTGAAAGATAAGGAGCAAATGTGATTTCTTTCCTTTGCCTGAAATGGAAATGCATATATGGTGGTATACGTTTTGTTTTTTTTTTTGTTTTTTTTCACAAACAAGCTCCTTCTAACTGCCTAAGGGCACAGGATGTGTTTTTTGCGCAACATAATGGCACCATTGCCTCACTTCTCTCCTGTTGTGCACCTGTGGAGCGAAGGGCATCGAAGTTGGTGACAATCATTTTTTTTTTTTTTCGTGGAGCGAAGGGCATCGAAGTTGGTGACAATCTTTTTTTTTCAACAAGTTTCCACCCAGCAGAGGTCCGTGTGTGTTGATGCTCGACATACACGCAACAGTGTTTACAGTGTACTCACACTCCAAAGCGACTGACTGAATCAGTCAAGCAAGATCTCTTCTCCCCCACCTCTCTGGGTTTTTAATCACATGTCCCCATCACCTGACCAGAAATGGGTGGAACGAGGAAGAACACATGCTGGGGCCAGATGGTGCGCACTCCGCTGACTGTAAAAGACTGCTATTTGTACCTTGTGACTTGATGTCTGCCACGCGGCATGTGCTCAGTGTCTTATCAATGGCCTTTATCATGCACGTCTGGCTCTTTGAACGCTCACCGCCAACCCGCTCTTCTTTCTTTCGGTTTCTTACCTTGAGTGAGTCGAAGCAAGCAATGACCCGTCCGTTTTCCACCTGGCAGCTCTTCGCCGGATGAGCGAACTTGCACTCCTGGTCCGAGCGGGAGCACGTGCCTCTCTGAAACTCCCTGCATACCTCGAGCGTCAGCCACTTTGTGTCACGGATCTGTGCTATGTTCATCGCCATGGCAACGCGCTGGCACCCAAAAAAATCAATTCCCAGCTGAGATTGGTTCGACGAGCCTCGATCAAAGCGTACCGCTTTGGGTTTTAATCCACGATTTCGCTTTTTGTTTGTGTTTTTATGCTGATATTGCCTGCGAGGTTGAGATGATGGTTTTTCTTTTTAAAAAGAAAAAAGTTTCCGAAGGGTCCAGGGTGAAATGTTGCAGGACGAAGTAAGGCCGTGAATGCTATTGCAACATCTTCTCGATCGAGTAAATTGGTTTTATCCAGGAGGCAGCCTGCCTGAATATTCACTCTTATTACTCACTGATTCTTCTTGTCTGGTGCATTCATGAGCCAAAGTGGCATAGGAGAGAAAGCCCTCTGGTTAAGATGCAGTGAAGCAGGCAACAAAGGTGATAGTCTGGGATGTAGTCTGCTTTGGGGTATGGGGATTAAGGACACTGAGGACTGTGTGGAGGCTTAAAGGGTCCAAGGCGAAGGTAAGTAAAGGCAAGGTGTGTGATGCTCTGCGTGGGCCTTGTGGCGAATCGGGCTGCTGGGCTGTCAGGTGAGGCTTAGTGGAGGCTGCGGCCCACTGGGAGGGGTGGATGGCGGTGATGGCGGATGGACGAACGGGTCGGAGCGCAGTCAGAGGAGGGCGCGGCCACTTTTCCTTGCGCTATGGCAGCAAGCGAGCGAGGCGGGAGGGGCGGGGAGAAGATAGAGCTTCAGCGGTAGAAGCAGGTCAAAGCTGCAGCACACATCAGCAAAGGCACTTCCTCTGGGGAGAGAGAGAGAAAAAAAATGAGATGATATAATTTGTAATTTTTTTTGGTGGAGGGGGGGGGGTCACGCTTTGGGATCAGGTTGTGATCTTTTGTTTTACGTCAAGGTCCGACAAAAGTATGCAAGCTGTGGGAATCAAGAATGTGTAAAAATGTCAGAAATGCGTCGGTTGTCAGCTAGACAAATAAAACGTTCACCCGCCCACTGCTCTAAACACACATGGTGTGCACACACTCATCACGCCACGGCGCACACAAACACACGCACACACTCAACGCATTGGCGCGTACAAAGCAGCCATTCAAAACTTTCCACCACGTCGACGCAATGAAATGAGATGAAAAATCCCGTGTCACTTACAGTGGAGTGCAGCAAAGCTGGCCATTGCAAATATGTCTGAAGATGAAAGAAGGGAAGAGAGTGAAAGAAAAGGGGAAGTAGAGGCAGGGCACAAGGGGGAAGAGGTTAGTCATTTCCCTCCTTGCGAAGTTCCGTGAGCGTGTGGGCCAATGGGAGCGAAGAGAGTTGAAGCAACATTCTGGGCTGAGCGCCAGGTGAGAAGAGGCGGAGCCCAGCGAAGGCTGACCCGCCTGCTGCCAGAGTGAAAAAGAGTCAAAACGAATCACTCGGTTTTCTTGTACGCATTCTAACATAGGAAGGTGTTCTGTCATTAAATATCACACAAATGAGTTTTTAAACATGTTTAGGATTCGCTCATCATAACGTGCAAGAAGGAATGTGTGTGAGTGGTTTTTTTTTTTTGCAAATTACTTTCTAGTTCTGGTGAAACCACGAGTGGAATTTGAATGGTTAGGCTCCCGAGGGATGATTCTGCTCTTATCAAAGGAGAGGGTTAAGTCACCACACCCTGTGTAGAGAAATCCTTTTTCCCAGTAACAGCGTGTGCACTTGAACAGGAACTGCGAATGTTACGGCACTGCAGCACTGCGATGTGCTGTAACAGAGCTCTGCACCAGCGCAGCCCAGGTCATGATGACCAAGCATCATGGTTAGATGTCTTTCAAATGAAAGGGAGAGTGACGTTGCGGCCTTCTTTTGTCATTGCACGGCACCTTGATAGCAAAAGTAAGCCCCGTCGCTCTGGATGACCTTTGAATAGCGAGTGCTATCTTAATACAAACACTGCACTGCACCCAATGCGCACTACGCATATGTACAAAAGAAAAAAATTGTACAACCAAAAGCAATGTTTCCCAACTTTTACTGAGCAAGGCACATATTTTTACAGAAGAAAAATCTCACGGCGCACAATCACGCAGAAGTACCGTTCATATTCAGAAAAAAAATTTCAACGTACTCCAAAATGTGCCTTTTCATTTGAGCACAATTCAGCTAGCTGTGAAAGTGCTAGTTTAAATTAAGACGCAACGTACTATATTTGATAATCCGTTGTATGAATGGCAACTAGTAGCTTGTACCTTCTGCTATCTAGTGGAAGAGCATTTTGCCAGTCATTGTAAGTCACTGTTATAGATAGACGAAGAATGATGCATTATTTGGAGTAAACAGTTTTCGGATATGAAGCCACTTTTGTGGTAAAGTTCAGTTGAAGTAGGAGGAGCATCCAAGTGCATGTCCACTTTTTTGCGACGTAATAAAAAGCACCGACCTCGTATGTTAAAATCATCTGATTCCGGACATACCAGTAACTCGGCACGTAAAATAGACACCATAACAAATGGAACTGTGCTGCTCAGTGAAAAGCGAGCTGTCGTGACAACTAACAACAACATGGTCTGCTTGACTGCAGCTCGGGGTATTGTCTCGGCTATACACGTACAATACACAAACAAATACACGTTACAATTAGATTGAATTTAGATATACACGCTCAAACATCTACAGCTGTACGACAGCTAATGGGGTGGGGTGGAGCCATCACTTACAACATTGTTCACACTGATGGTGCCGTGGGCTTGCTTCAGTCAAATAAACACGGCAATAGCTTCTTATATGAAAAGCTGCCAAACCCCCTCAAGTTTTTCTACTTTGCTATTTCTATGTAAGGCAGCGAGGCTTCAGTGCTGTGAAGTAATCCTCATAATGAGCCCTCGATATGACCCATCATGTCTGAACATGGATATCCTTCCCTTATTGATTGCTACATCTTTTAACGGGAGGCCAAGCCCTTTTTGTACATTCATTCGAATCGTCTCAAGCTTCTCTCGGTCTTGAAGATCTGCTTTTTCCAAATAATTCATATCATTCTTATCCTTCACCGAGGTCACTCACTCTATGGATAATGGCATACCAATACAGCCTCTGTTCGTGTCCAAGGTCTTAACGTGGTGCAAGGTCAACCGCGTTGGAAGGAGACAAGATGGTGAGAGAGCTTCCACTGAGCCTTTAGAGCACATTGGAGAAACATTGCAAGGCAAGGACAAGAAAAAGTGCGTGCAACATCAGATCGTGGACGGTTTCTGACATGAACAGCAGGCGAGCATGTCTTTCTCTTGCTTCACTTTGCCAATGAGTCACAAAAGCAACTTTGCGGAAGGGGGTGTCCTTTGGTAGTGTCGGTAAGCTGGTCGATGCAAGAAACCTGACGATGGGGCACAGACGACGAGCACAGACAGAAATGCAGGCACAATAAAAATAATGTTTAAAGACAGGCAGGTCTCGGAGTTGTCAGTATGACTAACTGCTTGAGTACCGATGAGAAAACAAGAGAGGGTGCGGTTCACAGTTATGATAGGCCTTCCTGAAAGAGCACATGAGGCGATTCACTATTAGTCAAGTGACACTTATAGCTCGAGTCGATTTGAAGTTTATGCGGCATTCTGCAAAATCCACATATCGCGCTTGTTTTGCTGCAAACAGAATGTGCAAAATGATAGCTTCCAGCCAGCGTTTCTATTTTCAGCTTTTGACTGCAGGGGAGAAGGTTTCCTTTTGTTTGCTGCTTCTAGATTTCAGCATACTGACAGAAGTGGAGGCAAGGTGACAGTGTGCTGATATAGGTCATCAAAGTGGAGGACGTCAGGAGGAAATGCAACACCACAGGGCTCCATCATGCTGCTGCTGCAGCTACTCGGAATATCATAGCATGTCAATAACGCCCTCTCTGACCTTTACATATATGTTTACCACTCTGTCTCTTGGGGGTTCCACACACCGATGGAGAAAGACATTGAGAGCTGGCCATACAAATTTAATGTCTTAGCGGAACCCGCATAATAGATTTTTGCTGTGGAATAAACATGGTGTGTAAAAAATATAATGGAAGTATTGCTGAATTATCTAATTGAGTTGTAAAGATTAGCAATTTTGACAACAATTAACATGCAGAATTCAACCGCCAAAATTGAAACATAGCACTCTGTAGTGCAAACAAAAATGCCATTGCTGATATTATAAATATTGTACATGCCACCAACTGTAGCACATATTCTTCTGGTGTTTAGATAACCTACATTTTATATTATCTTAGCAGTTAGCATAGCTTCTCTGTCTTCTCCTGTCACATACTCCTCGTCCTCCTTCCATAATAGCGATACTTGCCACAAGTGTATCTTATTTGCTAAAATGAAGTGGATGATTAGTGGCTACCACGCTAGCTAGCCAGCCGCTGTTGCCGGTGTGAGCTAAGAGCAAGTTAGCTTCGCACCTAGCATTCCCTCATTAATTTTGATGCATGTGGGAAAAGCAGGGATGATTGTGTGACTATTTAACGTGGAAGTGCCAACAACAGTGCTTCCAGCTCCAATACCAGATATGTTTGAAGCTATTTTCACACCGGGGCAGAGATGATGGTGTCACCATTTGTAGGACAAATTCACAAGGTCCACTGTACAGTGCATAAACACCGTATAATGCTAGTTGGTACTCTTTTAACCTATTTTACATCAGGTCAGACACAGTAAGCTGGTTGATTGAAGTGAATGAAAGGATGACAAAGGCCAGCGTGATTGGATAATATACAGACACACGGCGCTATCCTGAATATCGCCACTATAGTTGGGTATTAAAGGCCAGCGTAATAGGATAATATACAGACACACGGGCGCTATCCTGAATATCGCCACTATAGTTGGGTATGCTATCAACATTCACCACCCTTCCTGTCATTTTCAAAATGAAGTCATAGCCACCTCATGACTTTTCGTTTAACTTGAGGCATTAAATAAAACGGTGAGGTTGTCTTCGGCCAAGAGCACACAAACAAGCTCCGTTTATTCTTCCGTAAATTAACCTCTGGAGACAATGAGGCCACTTGTTTAGCATGCGCACACACTGACCAACTGTGTCCCAGTGGTGTGTATCCTTAAGTTGTCGTGAATATAAGATTGTGTGCAAAATTGCACTTTCGCATGTTCGTGTGTGATATTAACAACAACGGCTAGCCTTATGGCTTAATGAGAAGTTCATTGGCTCGCATTTATGTAATCTGGGTCACCATGCTGAGACATCAGCAGCAGCTCACAGGCTGATTTCTACATAGTAGCGGCTGGCACAGTTCAGGAGTGGTTTGATATACTGTATAATTAAATATTATAAACATTATACTATTTTTAAGGCTTGGGGTTTCCCGATTGCATTTTTTCACTTCCGATACAATATTGCAGCCTAGAGTACTGTCCGATACCATATCACCAGGAATGATTATTGTTTAGTGTGAAATGTTTGAAGAAACTTCAAGTGATACTATTCAAAGAACATAAGTCAGCACTAGGAGGCATGAGAAAGCAGGATCCATTTATTCTACGCAGTTGAGAGAAGAGCAGGAGGATATGAGTGCTAATATCGGAGATTTTGGATGTCGACCGTTATAATCCGTTTTTTTCCTTTTTTTTTTTGTTTGATATCAGAACGATATGCGATATCGAATGGATTAGGACACCCCTAATTTTTGTGAAATGTAACAAAAGATACCAAGAATGACAAATCATAGTGTTAGAACTACAGAGTTTTGTAATGTAAACAAAAAAAAAAGGACACCAAGATGAAGTTCAATTTAAAAATAAATCTCAAACGACAGGGAGTGTGAGAACAACAATAAAATAATAATGATTTACCACGGGTCCATTTTTTTTTTCAGGGGTGTGTTTACCTTCTAAATCGGTTGCAGGCCTATTTCTTGCTACCGTTATCTGTATGACTTTCATTGAGTTAATCATTTTCAGGGAGCTCAACCAAGCTCATGAGATGTGATGAGTGCTCATAATGCAGACACAAACATCTGCAGTGGCCCGGTGTGGGGGAAAAAAAAAAAATCAAGAAAGGCAGCACAAAATAGGATTTTCAGAGCGTCAGGGTATGTGACTAAAGGGGGAGTTAGCAAGTAAAAAACGAAATGTAATTGTACATTCAAAAAAATAAAACTTCAAACTGCTAAGAGTGAGTGCTATAGTAACACTCCGCTACAGGTAAGTGGCGCTAACCAACGTATCAGCCATGGCTAACGTCGTAATGCTAGTTTAGTATTGCGAGTGCTGCTATTTTGTTGAAGCTGCACAGGCATTCTCTCGCATGTGGTTATGCGTGGCCATGTTCGGAGTCCGTTTGACTTCAGCGCCTCTGGACACAACAACACAAAACAACCCGAAAGCCACTTGTTTCTTTCTCCAGAACCAGCATGAGTCAGACTGTTCTCTGGGGAAACTGTTAGACTGAGGATTATGGTCAACATGTCTGATTGCTAGTCATGTGAGAGGGAAAAAAAAAAAAAAAGAGTACAAATAAATATTAGAGGTTAAGAAGGCAAATAATGGTGTGATGACGTGTCATCAGCAATTTGTTTCTGCTCGGTAAGGAATTTTATTAGAGCGAGGGGTCTCCCAGTCAACCGAAGCCGTCACATATTGCTGAAAAGTGGTCACAACACAGTAAGAACACAGAGAAAAGCCCCCGTGTAATAAAGGCTTAACCTGTCAGCACCAATGCTGTCAAATCCCGCTTTAATACTCTATATCATGGGCTCCACACATGCATGCAGAGCTGTTCAGTGAGAGCAGCACACATCTCAGGTTTCTGCTTGACTAAAAATGGGTTACCCGTCCAATTTTCTTGCTGCACGCCAATGCAATCTCCCAAAAATCTCTTGCCGCATTTGTGTACATACTTGTGATAAAGTGCGCGCATGAGCGCCACTGCCTGAGCTACCTACGGACTCCCACAAAGTCACAACAACAACATTCCACATCATTGCCTCAACCACAGACACACCACCAAGAGGAAGCCAGGAAAGATGTGAGGGAGGAGGCCAGAGGTAATGAGCAAGGAGGGAGGGAGGGGGGGGAGAAGAACCAAAGATAATTATTTAAGCCTCACAAGATTCACTCATCATGTCATGACTTAAGCAGAATCCCATGCTGATGTGATTTGGGCCATTTCAGAGTTACAGAAACTTTGAAAAAAAAAAAAAAAAAGGCCCGACCCTTCTCGGCCGGGACAGAAGAAAATTGAACGCATTTCGAAGTGAAGTCATGTCATATGACTGGAAAACAAAAACTAAACAGAACGACTTACTTACAATTCAGTTCAAACATTGAGGAGCACATTCCCTGAAAAGTACATTTGCTTGTTTTCCTTCTCCGTCTTGCCCCCCCATTTCCTTTTCTCAACTTTGTCCCTCCTTGGTAACTCCCCCTCCACTAGACACATGCAAACACTCACTGAGTCTCACACACACACACACACACACACACACACACACACACACACACACACACACACACACACACACACACACACACACACACCCAGAGTCACCCTCTCATACACGCACACACTCTCCTCCCGCGAACCGGAATGCTTGGCAAGATTCTACTGTACTGAAATACTGTGCATACCATATAAGGTAGTAGCAGTTTCACATGTCACATATAATTTACATGCAGCGGGGCGGTAGTTTGCAGTGCGCACACACGTTGTGACACACACACATGCAAAATCATGCTTCCCCTTTTGGGCTGACGCAGCAATGGAGGGAAGAGGCAGAATGGAATCAAATGTTACCCTCTGTAGGACTAACCCCAAAGTGTGTCGAGTCAGACGGGAGCAACGAGAGACGAGTGGGTGATCTATTGATCTCCATTGCTTCCTGGATCAACATCGGCCCTCCGCACATATCAACACCGCCCTCCCCCCCGTACACGCGTCCGAAAATCTTCTCCTGAACTAGCCTTGGGAAATGGCTATTGAGACTCACCGCTTCAAGGCAAGAATGTTTCTTACTGCGTGTGTGTGACAGTGCCAGTAGCCATAAAACAAACTGTAAAGAACAGCCATCAATAACCCTTTGGCACGCATACTGGATACACGCAGCAACCACTAAGGACACCGATGCCCATATCGTCGCCTATGCTCCGATGCACAGACGCCCACTTTGGAAAGTCAAGACTGCAGCACCCACAGGAGGAAAGATCGAGATAAACCAACCGAGGCCGGGAGGAGGGTTACGAAGCGAGCGCTTACCTCTCACATTGCTCTCCAGATAATGCGTGAGTGCTTCCGCGTGTCGACCGACTCTTGTGTTTGTGTGTGCGTTCAGACAGGCTGCGACAGCAGACCCCCAGGCACCGGCTGGACCATTCTCAGGCAGGCAGGCAGAGCACAGCACAGGCAGAGCGACTGGCAGAGGAGAGGCAAGCGGGTGAATCAGCGACGAATGAGTGGAGGAGCTGTGCGGAGCCCAGCACCAAAGTGAGAGAGGGAGGGAGCGAGGGAGGGGAGAGAGGAGGAGTGTATGTCTGCAACTGTGCACGTTGCAGCGTTGGCTGTTAACGCCAGTGTCTCCCCCACCGCTGCCTCCTAAACTGGTCGAGCTAACTGTGTCGAGGGGAGAACCGGGTCGACTTTTCTCCCTAGCTCCTGGATCTGCTCTGTCTGCCGCCCGAGGAAAGCGTATGATGGGTGGGGGAATTCAGTAGCACCAGCTGTGGAGGAGGACGGCTATTAGGAGAAGGCGGAAGCTTTGACGGCACAGGCCGCGCAGACCCTGCAGTCTCCTCATCCCCTTTCGATTCCTTGCTGCAGGCGGACCACGCCTCCTCCTCGCCCCCCCCCCTTCCACAAGAGCAACATATGCTATCAGACCCGGAAGTAAATAGGGAAGGGGATGGGGGTAAATTGAGACTTGAGGAAACACAGCTATGAGGGGATGCAGGAAGATTAGTGACAGGATGCCAAAAAAAAAAAAAAAGCAGAGGAAGACAGGGACAGAGTGTGGAAGCACATCAAATGGAATATGAGGTCAATCCAGAGAGGAAAGGAAAGGAAGGCAAATGCAAAAAAACAAGGAATATGCTTGCTTTACATTTCCCTTGGACAATCGGTGAGCATCAGTGACCTCCAAGTCAACGGTTGCTTCAAAATTTTATGACTAGAGAACCAGATGAACTAAAAAAAAAGAATGAAATCTGACCTTCAAGCAGCGATCAAGATTCTAGATAAGCACCAAAAAATTACAACCACAACCAAGAAGCTGCAAGACATGCTCGTCGTGAGAGTGCATTCGAATATTTCAGATTAAACACCCCAAAGCTTTGAATGCATCTTCCCGTTCCCTCGCAATCTGAAAGAGTTTCCAATTCTGCACAGCTTAAATACAAAGCTCGCGATAAGTCTCGTCTAATTTACGCGCCGTGCCCTTAAACCCGGTGTTGCAAGTCGCAGTCACAGCTGCAACACTAACTTCCAGCACGCGGGTGCGATGTGCCCTGCGCGCCCTGACAACGGTTTGTTTGACCCACGGCAAGACAGACGCAGTTATGTGATTCGGATTGGCCAAAGACAACGTGGTGGAGATAACGTATCACAATACCGCCAAAGATCTGGGCTCTCCGAGAACTGATGTGGAAGTTCCCTTTTTTACTGAAGCCGAGAACGAGCCAGCTCGCTTCCTCTCAGGCCTTCTTTTCCCCATCATTTCAAATGATTATCATCGAGTGTTTACAGGACCCGAGTTGATCTGTCCATCACTTTGGCTCAATTCTCTAATCCAAATCCCCTGCACAAGAACCACGAGCAATTGCATTTGTGACAACAACAGCCTTGTCCAATTGAACGTGTGATCCAAGTTTGCAGATGCCAGATGGGTTGCTCGTTTAGCTATTTAAGACTGGTTTCCTTTTGGAAGATATTTGCTCCATCCATGTACAGTACAATAGAAACCAGTTCTTTGGTTAATGGCTTGCATCCGGTAAGAACAGCCAAGTTGAATTCTGTGAGTGTGGAAGCACATCAAATGGAATATGAGGTCAATCCAGAGAGGAAAGGAAAGGAAGGCAAATGCAAAAAAACAAGGAATATGCTTGCTTTACATTTCCCTTGGACAATCGGTGAGCATCAGTGACCTCCAAGTCAACGGTTGCTTCAAAATTTTATGACTAGAGAACCAGATGAACTAAAAAAAAAGAATGAAATCTGACCTTCAAGCAGCGATCAAGATTCTAGATAAGCACCAAAAAATTACAACCACAACCAAGAAGCTGCAAGACATGCTCGTCGTGAGAGTGCATTCGAATATTTCAGATTAAACACCCCAAAGCTTTGAATGCATCTTCCCGTTCCCTCGCAATCTGAAAGAGTTTCCAATTCTGCACAGCTTAAATACAAAGCTCGCGATAAGTCTCGTCTAATTTACGCGCCGTGCCCTTAAACCCGGTGTTGCAAGTCGCAGTCACAGCTGCAACACTAACTTCCAGCACGCGGGTGCGATGTGCCCTGCGCGCCCTGACAACGGTTTGTTTGACCCACGGCAAGACAGACGCAGTTATGTGATTCGGATTGGCCAAAGACAACGTGGTGGAGATAACGTATCACAATACCGCCAAAGATCTGGGCTCTCCGAGAACTGATGTGGAAGTTCCCTTTTTTACTGAAGCCGAGCACGAGCCAGCTCGCTTCCTCTCAGGCCTTCTTTTCCCCATCATTTCAAATGATTATCATCGAGTGTTTACAGGACCCGAGTTGATCTGTCCATCACTTTGGCTCAATTCTCTAATCCAAATCCCCTGCACAAGAACCACGAGCAATTGCATTTGTGACAACAACAGCCTTGTCCAATTGAACGTGTGATCCAAGTTTGCAGATGCCAGATGGGTTGCTCGTTTAGCTATTTAAGACTGGTTTCCTTTTGGAAGATATTTGCTCCATCCATGTACAGTACAATAGAAACCAGTTCTTTGGTTAATGGCTTGCATCCGGTAAGAACAGCCAAGTTGAATTCTGTTTTCTTCCCTGACAACATCGTGGTGTTAACCTCTCCTGGGATCCATTGACATTTTTTGAATTCTACAGTTTTAAGCACCTTATTGGTGTTCAAAATAGAACATTACATTTACACAATTAATAATAATTCAATGCAATTCATGATTTATTTATTCTATTATGATTATTATTATTATTATTATTATTATTATTATTATTATATATGCATTATTTAAAAAAAACTCAGTGATAAAACTCTACTACTACAATTATTATTAGTAGTAGTGTAATAGTAAATAGTGTAGTGTAAAATAATAATTAAAAATAATAATGAAAATAATAATAATACATTATTTTTTATTATTATATAATTTACTAAAAATAGTATTGGAAAAAACATTTTATATCATAATAGAATTTATTTTTAATGGATATACATAATATGTGTATACACTTACCCTTTCAGTCAATTGCAAATTACAAGGAAAATTCAGCCTATTCATTTTTACTTTAAAAACCAAGAATTATAAGCAAGTGGAATAATACTCCTCTCTAAGGTTCTGCGGACGCACGAAACAAAGTGAGAATTAAAACCAAAAAAAAAAAACGGGGGTTTAACAATGAGTTCACGCACGTTAACGCTAACCAACCGAAAACAGGAAGTAGCGCGTGTGTGTGTGTGTGTGTGTGTTAATACAAAACGGAGTTGAAGGGGATTTCCACCGAGTGGATACATCAAAGGTGTTAATTTTCAACAGTTTGAATGCTAAATGACAGCACGATAATAAACGGCTAACGTTTTCACTGCCGTCAAAACGTATTTTTCCACTTTCTCTCCTTCCCCGACAAGAACAAATTTTCCACCTTAAACTGCGCTATCATGTCAGAGCTCGGCTATTTCCCATCTTCCTGTAAATGCCACACTGGCTGGCAAATGTGAACTCTCACTCTCCTGAGGAAATGTCCTGGAGCTTTGGTGTGCCAACCTCTGACTGCTCATCTATCACTAACCCGCAAATACACATTAGGCTTCCATTACCGAGCATCCCAGCGATACGACTGCAATGGAGCACACAGCCTGCCTGCAGAAAGGCCAACAGCTGGGAGTAGCAATCAAGCTAACCTATTTAACTTGAATATATTTTGGCGACGGCGGAATCAAAAAGTGAAAAGAACGCCGGCCGGGTCACTTCCTGATTGCGTTACATGTTATATTTGGACCGAGCGAGGCGTTTGCTATGTAAACAATTAGGCTGTAAATATGCAGGGGGACATTGGTAAAAACGTCCAAGAAAACGTAAAGAGACAAGTTGTAAATAGGCGCCTGCTGAAAATCCACCTTGGAGAGCCGGTTTAGCGCTTTTCTCGCATTTTGTTTAATTTATTTTTTCTTAATTTATTTTCCGCACAGGGAGGGGAAGGGGAGGCAGGTGTAATTCAAGCAAGCTGTCAAGTTTGAAATACGGAGCGAGGAAATAGCACGCTGCCTCATCCTCATCTGGCACTGGAAAGAATGCGTGCGTGCATGGCCGTGTCTGTGTGCGCGCCTCCCTACACAAGCTGGAAGCTTATCTTGCAGATAAAGAGGAATCGCATAGAAACACCCTTTCCGAAGAGGCCTTTCACTTGGGCTTTGAGCAGGTTCTCTGTCTAGATACGGCGTGACATACAACTGCACAATCGAAAATATCCAACAAACCATCTTAACCCAAAATGTAAAAAAAATTAAATATACTTCGACAATTGGACTGGACAGCGGTGTATGCGCTTCACAATTAAACCTTGCCAAGCTACAAAAAAATGGAAACAAAACTGATCCAGTACAAACATTGAAAAAAATAAAAAAATCAGCAAAAGTGAGTAGAGTGTTTACAGTGAGCTTACCTGCGCGTGTCTATCGCTGAAGTGCTACTTGGACGAACAAAACCACTTTAAGCAAAGGTCACACCGACGCAACGCGCAGCATCACGAAGGAACATTTTCGCTCCCCCCCCATCCGTCTGCTACTTTACTCGCTCTCCACTCTCGCTCGCTCACAATAGCGCCTTCTGCTTAGCAACGGCCATACTGCAAGTGTGGTCAGGTTTACAGCGAACCATCACTGCGCAACATCAAGTCTCCATGACAACCACTCCTTTATCTCATTTGCATCTTCTGCTTGCATTATTTCATGCCAAATATGGTCACCTTATTCAGCTCTGTCTGCATCCACTTTTTTTTTTTTTTTCGAACTTCCTCTTCCCCTACACTTTCACAACTGTGGTTGAAGTGCGCATTTATGTGTGGCCAAAGGACTGAGATGCAGCTCTTAAGTCGACAAAAGAATGGAGATGGTGGGCAGAATTTTCATTTTTTTAAACTTCATAACGATACAGTATTTCGCACAATGCTTCCATCTTTGTGGGATCAGTCTCGTGAAGGCCCCTGTCTGATACAAGTGCACAAAGCAAGGTCTATAAATGATCAAACAGACATGATGAGCCAGGCCCTCACTCAAGCCCAACATCAGTGACCTCAAAAAAATGTTCTTCAGGATGAATGGACAAAAATCTCAGTCATCCCTAGCTGTTATGGCTGTGAAACTGGCAAACAACTTCAGGTGAATAGCCTCGGCGTCCCAATACTTTTGTGCTCACAGTTATGTTTGCATTCTTGCAGCCAGTGATCGCGTAGAGAGAGGAAGTGGCAGAGAATGAGAGCCGCTTGCACTGCGCAAAGATAAAGGTGAACCAAGAAGCGGTTGCTTTTCAGAGAGACAAAAATAAAAAAAAAAAGGATGTGACAACACCAACGGCCCAGGCAGGTTTCAACTCACCACCTTTCAATTGGTCTTCAGTCAGGGCCTCCGCCTATTTCTCCCCCAAGGACCGCGTCTCTGGAAGTATCACAGGAATGTCGATGCAGGCCTCTGGAGGTCTCCGGAGCTCCCCCACCCCACACACACACACACACACACACACACACACACACACACACAAGGCCACTCAGCAGCACTCAGCACCTGTCTATGGCTGCTAGTGCACAGAAAGAGACGCAGTCAATCATGTTGGACAGCATAGCAAATGAGCAGAAAAGGGACGAGTATGGGAAGGGGGAACGGGGTAGATGGGGACTGGATGATCGTGACTCATCAGCCCAGGAAAGACAGCAACATAACATAAAAGTTGCATGTTTGGTCGAACAAATGATATTTGAGCCATTTGTGCAAAATATACAGTTCACATATTTTCTTACGGTCACTCTGGCACGACTGTTTCATAAAAGGAAATAGAACTACAGGGTGTTCTGGAAAATTTGAAATCATGCAGATCGAGTTAACTAACTACATGTTATCCAAGCGAAACTAAGTAGGCTTACTGGTGAAAAATCGATTTGTTTAACAAAATTCCAACAGCATATTCAAATGGGTATCGAATTTTATAACCGATTTCAGAAAGCTTTGCAAAATGTAACAGGCACTCCCCCGCCTGTGACGTGACCCATTTTTTTTATTTTTTGAACCTTCTTTGAATTTGTTGTGCGAGAAAAAAAAAATGCACAGTTCACCCTCTTACTTGACTGCCCTTGACCATATTCTAACACACAAAATCCAGGGACGGTTCATTTTACAGTGGAATGATTCGGTTTGGTTCAGTGGGTTAACGATTTGATTCCATGACACAGCTCGGCGGTGGGGGTGTGTGTGTGTGTGTGTGTGTGTGTGTGTGTGTGTGTGTGTGTGTGTGTGTTTATTTATTAATTTACTTGTTCATGTTTAAATGCCGAATTGATGGATGAGTTTCCTCTCTATTCATAACAGTGATGCAAGTTCTCAACAACGTTTCTCAGCTCCTCATCTCATGTGACTTACCAAGCAGGGCACCAGAGGCAGCGCCCGGCCGGCCTCTCCTCTCCTCTCCCGTGCTGCAGGGATGCTGGGACTCAGGGAATTGGAAGTCAATGAAACCATGCCTAATTTAGTCTTCGCTCCTCCTTGGGCTGCCAGGAATCAAGAGTGAGAGTCCTTCCCTTTTAGGGCTCCCAGGACGCTGTGATCGGCGAGTGCACGCCTGCGTTCCGATCCACGCTAAGGAGTGGTGGATGAGAAAGAGGCGACAGTCACAGATGTGATTATTTTCTCGCTGTTAGCCGTGTCAATGTAACAAATTGAAACAGAGTACCTATCTATTAACTTTTCAGCTTACAAGCATTTTATCAACTCATTCAAGGATTTTGCCAGGGAAAAGACTAGCATTTGGAAGTCACGCGCCCCAATAATTAGCGGCGATGAATAATCATGGACTCTATACTTAAAACAACCCATTTAAACAGGCTCCCACGCCATGTCACGTTATGTCATCTTGAAAAGCCCATGTGAAAATTAAACCAGAGGCTGTGGGCTGAAGTCTTTTTACAACTAAAATCATGATCTATATTTTTATAATTTGTGGGCGGCATGGTGGGCAACCGGTTAGAACGTTCACCTCGCAGTGTAGAAGTCCATGGTTCGATGGCGGGCTCTGGCATTCCTGTCTGGGGTTTGCATGTTCCCCCCGTGCCTGCGTGGGTTTTTTCCGGGTACTCATGTTTCCTCCTACATCCCAAAAACATGGTATGCATGCAATTAATACAATGGACTGGGAAAAAAAAAAACATAATGGAAGCAACTTTGTAATGTTTCCTTCCAACCCCTGATGCATCAAAAAACAGCTAATATGCACATTTGATCTTTTTTTTTTCAGCAAATCTACTTTTAGCGCTTCCTTACAAAGTACAAAATAAAGAATGAAGTGACGTGAACAAAATCCTGTCAAGTTATCTTGACCCATCGGAGGATTGCCAAAACCGAGGGGAACTACATCAAATAAGTGAGGTAGCAGACAGGCCACTTAGTAACCTAGCAACCAGCAAGCTCAACATAGCCCCTGTAATTCTAAAACTCAGCAAAATGAGTGCCTGATATTATTGCATTACCTCAGCTAACCACAGGATCCGAGCCGTAAATAACAGCTCCCTGGACCAAGCACACGTCTGTGGCGAAAAAAAGAAAAAAAAAAGTCAACAAAATCCCTCCACTTGTTCTTTCCTGGATTCTTCTGCTTCAAGGAAGACCAAGGGAGGCAAAATTTGGTTTTATGGAGTGCTGTAACAAGAGAGTAGATAGCGACCAAAAGGGAATCGAGTGGAGCCTATGATTAGTGAGTCATAATGAGGGTTGTGGGATGGGACTATATTATTAAAGAGGAGCAGGAAAACCTATCGGTCTATATGTGAAACACTAGCACGCTGGGTGCTGAGGACGAGTAACGCAAGGTTAAAAAGTCGACTAAAACAGCCCTGTAAGCCTTTAAGTCGCAAAACACCATTATAAGCACTTCTCTTGTAATTTGAAGAGCAGAGGCTCCCTTGTGGAGTCGGGAATCTTTTTATTATTACCACTGAGAGTGCGTGTGAGTCTGCGAAACAGCTCAGCCTTGGGGTGGGGGGGAGAGGGGGGGGGGGGGGGTCTTATATTTAGATTTTATGACCAATATCGAGTTCTAACCCAAGACGTTTTCACCGGGGGTGATTAAAGATGTCATGTCCACTGGGCAAGAAGTTATGACAGCAATTTTGAGCAGCCCACGTCACATGGCGCGGCGAAGACATTGGTACATACGTTCACCCCGATTCTCGAGTGATAACAGATGGAAAAAGTGCCAGTAAATAAGACAAAATAACACTACCAGCCATCTTGAAAGTCATCTAATGGGTTTCAAATTAGTGCGCGGCTTGCAATAAACCTGTGGTTGTCAAGTGTTTTATTTACTTAGTACCAGCTAAAAAAAACACACACTCACAGTCCTCTAAATACGGCCATCATCATTTTAATCTTGGATTAAAATACTGTGTCATAATTGTGGTATTGAAAAAGCTTCGCCCGAAAAAGTTGGGATGGGCGAATACGGATCGCGACGGCGGCTAAAGTAGAACATGATCTGCATGGGTTTGTAATATAAAAGAAAGTACATTAAATTACTGGTAGCATCATATTATCTCTCGGACGTACTAAGGACAAAAAGTATTCCTTGAGATGCTCGGAGGAGATTGTATGTGACAATCCTTCTCCCAATTGGGATTCCAATAGCCTACATTCCCCTGTTTCAAGGTCGACAGCAGAAGCAAATTAAATTACTTGTCCTGTTTTGTGCCGCCGGCGCCAGGTCAACAGCAACTTGGCTGAAATGATAAGTGCGGGATTTTGAGGGGAGCGGTGTTTTTGTCCTGGCCCCTCTGGTGTCTATTTGCAGTGAATCGATGAAATCGAAAACGACGTATTGATTTCAGCTTTTGCGATCGCATGAGGGAAAAAAATAGTTCGTTTTGCTTACGCTATCATGCTAATGACACGTGTCTTCTGTCTGCACAGAGAATGCCAGTTGTTTGTTCCAGCCGCAATATCACTGCTCATTGTTCACGCCCCCGCTACATTGCGGAAACATGCGGAACATTCATCAAACATTTCAGACATACTAACTCTTCTGCATTAGTTATTTGTTGTTGTTGTTGTTTTTGTTTTGAAACTTCAGAAAGTCCAAATTTAAAGTTGCACCCCTTCAATGCTGTACCAAGTTGTGCCATAACATGCTGCACTGAGGCCAAATGGGAAAAGATGCAAGACGATGATGTTTAGGAAGTGTTTTTCTCGTGATTTTAAATGTATTTTAAGTCTGTGACAGGTTAAAAAAAACAAAAGGTAAAAAAGTCTGATATGGTCTTTCTGTAACTTTTGTGGATGGGTCCGAAATCCATCCCTGTGATAAACAGGGGTCTCTGTAATTTGCATGACACCCAATTGAAGTGGATGTAAAGACAATGCGCGTACGCTCAGATATACAGAATTATCTCACACTCTGCAGAGCCTCCTGGCACGTCTGTGAACATGTTGCATGGCCGCCTCTACCGAGAAAAGTTTCTCTATGTGGCTCAGGGCGTTGCTTGCTATCAGCACTCAAACACATTATGATGTGGCTTTAGAAGAAACTAAATGTCGCCGCTCAAAACAGCACAGGCAACCAGCTACACTGCTACTGCAACATTATTATGGGATACAGAGGAGCAGACAAACATCAGTCATATTGATAGATGCTCCATGGGCCATTGTTTCAAAACAGCCCTATCTCTGACTTTGGTGGATGACATTAAACTAAAAATATGCTTTGGAATGCAATCCCACCAGTCACAGACATTAAACAGCAACAACCGCATTGCAAGAGTTTAAAAAATGTATCTATCAAGTACCAAGTTTAGACAAAAACCATTCAGCTGGGAAGATAAACTCTTTAGAGGGTTTGCAGTGTATGGGTGGAATATTGATGAGAAAGATGCATTGGTGGTTAAGGTGTAAGATAATTGTACATGAACAGGAAGAGCGTTTGTGTGAAAAGTGTTTTACAGGTCGTGAAATTATTAGCAACGAATGAATGAAACCACTCCATCTCAAAGCTCTGTTACAATCAACTTTTTTTTTTTTTTTTAATGAAAAGGTGATCTTCGCTAAGGTTACCTCCATTGCTTATTTAACTTCATATTCAAACTATTTAGTATTTTATTCGCCCAATACTTCGTGGGCATAAATAAATCGGCCCCATTTGTGTGCACGTTGTGTCTTAATTCGTGTTCCTCAAATTATAATTTTGTGTGCACGTTAAATGCAGTTTGAGGTCACAGTTTTATAGTCTCATGTCTGAGGCTTCTTAGTTTTAACAGTGTGTAGTAGGACAAAATGCTTACCGGATTTTCGTAGGATTTTTTTCCGCTTCATTTTGCCTCATGCGACACCACTGTTTGTTTTTCCTGGCGCCTGATACTATTGTCATCTAGAATCTTGCGAGACATTAATTTCTATTGCGTAATAAGTCGGGTCTGTGTGTAACATATTTTGAGGGGCGTGGGGAGAAATTAATGAACTGTATTTCTCGAAAACGATTTTTCCGTGTTGGCTAGCGACTGGCGACATTTTTTTTAATGATCGCCACTCCTGAAAAAGGCGCAGCAGCGACGTAATTATTTGTCGACAACCCTAGCTTGTGACGTCATAATGTCGTTTGTAACAAAGGCAAAATATTCGGCCAGCGCGCGTCCTTATACAAAGCTCTCCCCCAAACGCATCTCATGCGGTCTCTTATTATTTGGGAGCGTCACCCTGCCCATGAGAATCATGGCCAATCTCAAGGGAGAAACCAAGAAAGAATCCAAAATGAGGATACGCGCCTTCCCTGTAAGTATGTGACATCCTGCTCTCAGACAGTTGAAAACAAAAACAAAAACACTGCAAGCAGGTTCCCCACTGGCATGTGAAAAAGAATACATTACCGACACTGACAAGCGCAAGCTGTCAACAAAACAGGACCAACGCCATGTCAGCCACATTCGTGAGTTGTCGCCTATGACAAGACAAACTGGACAACGCAATGAATTTGACTCGCATATTAAGAGTAGAAGAAAAAAAAACGCTAAATTGCAATACGAATGTTGTGCAATCAAGACAGGGGGATACTGTTAGTGTACCGTGAGAGATCACCACGTGTGCTGCGGGGAAACTTTCAAATTCACTTGGTCTGAAAGTTATTTACTACAAACAATGTATGAATGTTTATCTATGTATTCAAGCAACCTGTAGCAAATAGACAGAACAATGAAATGCCCTTCCACTAGATGCCTGATGACATAATTACTTTGGGTGACATTTTTGTTTGTGCCATGACTTCCGACCTTGTTAGCCGCACACCCACCTTGACTGAACCAAGACACATCCATTAGAAAATGGTATCAAACAGGGAAAGGGAAGGGAAAAGGGCACTCGGGGAGAAATGTTTTATTTTTGTATTGAATTTCCTGAACACACGTTGTATTTGGAAAAATAATTGGTTTCTTAAATGTTGTATAATGTATGTTGTGGGGTGATAATCTTGAACAACTGGTTTATATAAGGGGGAAAAAATCCAGAAAAGAAGTGTAATGAAGCGATTTTTAAAATATGTTTCTGTTGTCGTTTCTGGACACTACCTGGAGGCAAAACAATTTTCTGCTGATTATGTTGCGCACTTTGCTTATTCCCCAAAAAAGGGAGGGGGCGGGGTAGTATCAATATCAGTATCAAGCAGTATCAATATCGGCGGTTCTGGCCCTTTATTTACTTGGTATCGGATTGATACCAAAATATACAATATGGCACACCATTAGTGGATAGTTGTCAACTTGTTCGAGCCACAACTCCACAAGATGAATTTGTGAGTGCAAAATGGCGGACTGGCCGCAAGGGCCTCTCATTTATAGTGAATTAAAAAATGTCCAGTTTGCCTTGGAAATGGCTATACATACCTTAGCACGTTGAAACATTCTCTTCATTTGTCTGAAGCCGCTGTGCTTCCTCATCAAGTCCTGTGGCACCCTCTAGTGGAAACGAAACACGCACGCGCATTGAAAACAACTAATCTAGCACATTGAGCCATGGTCTACCTTACCGTGTGTGATAGCAGTGCCTTTCACTGATCCATTATAGATGACAATGGATGAGAAATATGTGGAGAACATCTGGGCCCTGCTAAAGAATGCCATCCAGGAGATCCAGAGGAAAAACAAAAGCGGGCTGAGCTTCGAGGAGCTGTACAGGAATGCCTACACCATGGTTCTGCACAAGCATGGGGAGAAGCTCTACACAGGCCTGAGAGAGGTTGTCACAGAGCATCTCATCAGCAAAGTAAAGAAATGCACCCCTGTCAATTTGCGCATAAACCCGCTGATTAATACACTCCATCCTTTTTTCCAGGTACGCCAGGATGTCCTCAAATGTCTAAATAACAAATTTCTGCAAATCCTAAATCAAGAGTGGAATGATCATCAAACTGCCACCATCATGATCAGAGACATCCTCATGTACATGGTAGGGAGGCAGAGTAATGCAGCATTTTTTTTTTTTTTTTTGTAGTTGTGTATATGTGGCCCTCCCACATCACTCATAAGCACCTTTAGCAGTGGTGGCGTTTTTATGATGCTTTTATCTGATTAGTATGTTTTCATTCTTCTAGTACTTGGCCAACCTTGAAGTGTTTTGTTTTGGGCTCAATAACTGTCTTGCCATTCACGAACTATTACTTGGGACTTTTCTGACCGTGTAAAATTACGAAAGGGCAGGTCTGCAGCCTAACTTTTCAACTCGGAGCGCAGTGGCCTGCAACTTTTAGGAACACACTATAAATCTAAGTGCTAAGCAAATAGTCACATTTCCTCTCCTTTCCCCTGTATTATTGATACTTTCACAATAAATGCAGAAAATGCAACTTTTCAAATTAGCATCTTATTGACACAACAAACATCAGTTCTATGTCTTAAATACAAAAAATGTAAAGGTTATTTTCAAGCCGGCAGTGGCACTGTTATCAAATTTCATGTTCCCTGCACGGTGTGAACATCAACAGCAGAATTTGCAGTTCATTGAATTTGCTCTGCGATTCCAGGACCGAGTTTATGTTCAGCAAAACAGCGTGGAGAATGTGTACAACCTCAGCGTCGTCGAATTCAGAGACCAGGTGGTCCACGACAGCTGCATTCGAAAACACCTTTGGCAGACGCTACTGGACATGATTAAACGAGAGAGGAGGGGAGAAGTTGTAGACAGGTATGGAGGAGTATTTGGGATCGCCTGTAGATAGCCGATCTCGGGGTAAAAGCGACTCCCATAAACGCACTGAAATCCTTTGAAGGCAGCACTTCAAAACCAGCGCTGTGTGCACGCGGCACATCAAACGCAAATAACCCCCGTCAACTTCACAGCAATCCAGTATGAGCAGTATTGGAAGCGAGCAAAACTCAATGCAGCTCTGCTTAGCTTTAGACTTGAACGTGATCGCAGTTGAGTCACTCCTGTGGGGAATATCGTTGTATTTCTACAAAGTATCGATAAAGTTGAGTTGAGAGTATACAATCGTCTCAAAACTCAATTTTCCCAAACATGCTCCCTTTCGAGTACTTATTATTATTGACTGGAAACATTTCAATTGCAGGGGATCCATCAGAAACACCTGCCAGATGCTGATGGTTCTCGGCCTGGACAGCAGGATTGTATACGAGGAAGACTTTGAGCGTCCCTTCTTAGAAATGTCAGCTGAATTCTACCAGGTGAGTCCCTTCCGGGTGCCCGTCTCATCTTGAGGGTACCCGGTGTCTATAACGTAATACCCCCATATTGGCCCGCTTAGATGGAAAGCCAAAGGTTTCTCGCCGAAAACAGCACCAGCATCTACATTAAGAGGGTGGAGGCCAGAATCCACGAGGAGATAGAGCGCGTCAATCACTGTTTGGACAAGTCGACGGAGGATTCCATTCTCAAGGTGGTGGAAAGGGAGCTGATAACAAAACACATGAAAACCATAGTGGAGATGGAGAACTCCGGCATGGTCCACATGCTGCAGAATCACATCACAGAAGGTAGCGTAACCTTGCAAATATTTATTGATGTGAATTTTGACAATCGTTATCTTTCTCCTTTTGCCCGCAGACCTTTTGTGCATGTACAAGCTGTTCAGCCGTGTCCCCAACGGCCTAAAAACAATGTGCGATTGTATGAGCTTGTACTTGAGAGAGCAGGGCAGGGCTCTAGTGTCAGAAGAAGGAGAGGGCAAAAATCCCGTCGACTATATCCAGGTATACTGATTGGGGAAGCAAACGCCACATTCTGAACTACTGGGAAATGTCTTGGGATGCACGTATGCCATTTTTTTTTTTTTTAATGAAGTAATGTAATCATTGGGACGAGCATATGCTCCTGGGAGGATCACCCAGGCAGCCGCGGGAGCTTGTGGGCGGGTGCACGTGGAACGGAGGATGAGATGGGGTCCGAGAAACCTTTGTGATTGTCGGACGGGCCGCCGCTGAACCTCGTCTCTGGTGCCACCCGTACAGAGTTCATCATCCATTTTGCATAGCATAAT